CTGCTGCACTTCACTTCCTCTTTTTTTCTCGCTTTGCTTTACTTGCACTGCTTCTCTTTCCTTTCCCTATCTTCATATCTATCATGTAGCCCGAGGTATATGCCGACCTGTCCTCCGAACACTTTCCTTCCTCCCGCCGCCCCCAGAACACAAAAATCCAACTGGATTACATACCTGTGTGTGCCTGCCGGCCAAGCCATGGTAAGAAGAAGGAAGAGGCTTCTAGCAAGCCATAGCCCTCGCTTCAGGATCCCTCCATCCCCTCATTTTTTTTTTCTTCGCGTCCGTTGTGCCCGTGCCTCGAACGGACTGACCACAAGACATTATAGAATAAAGAGAGAGTGTGTGTTAAGTTGGAGGGAGATGAGAAGAGAAATGAAAAAAATGTCATGTACATCGACAATGGGCGCCGAAGGGAAGATGACTGCCAGATGAAAGAGAATGAAAGATCAAAAAATGGAATAAAAAATAATAGTCGACAAGAGAATGTTGATATCATATCCAAGAAGCTTCACAAATTTTACCAAGATGACTGCAAAAGAAGAAAAAAAAGGTGGATGGCTCAATATGGGTCAAAGATGGTAAAATGGCTATGTCCAAAAAAAAAGATGAAGACAAAATTATCCCATCACATATCCTCAGTAAATCTTGACCCAGATCCTCGGGACCCATCCCGGGATACCAGACTCCGACCGATCGGGTCTGGCAATAAAGAAGCACGTGCGGGCGGACTTGGAGGTCCATGACTGCCAATCGGTGACGCCGGCGTTACCGGGTGCGTGTCATCTGAAAAGGGGCTTGTTGCTCTTGCTCCCGTTGATCCTCCATCCTGCTGAACAATCGCGGTCCTCCCCGGTCCTGACCTAAAGACGGGAACACCGCTTATGGGCCGCATCGGAGACCCGAGTTTGAGCCGCTGCCCACCGAGGCCAAGGGCGCCCGTCGTCCCATCGGTGAACGCTACGGAATCCCGATAGTAGACGCTCTCGTGAGGATCCGGGTCGCTGTATCCATCTCCCCCAGATTCTAAAACGGATATCAGCTTCTTGCCTGATACCCGGTAGAACCCCGGTTCTGAGGCCGGAGGCTCAGTTGACGCGGCCGAGAATCGCTTGGCCCCCGTAAGACTGGCAAGAGCAGACGGGACTGCGTATGGAAGACCGCTTTCTGTCATTCCTCCTCCTCCTCCTCCTCCTCCTCCTCCTCTTCCTCCAGTTCCTCCACCGCCTCCACCACTACCGCCTCCTCCTTCTCCTCCTTCCAGAGCTCCTCCTCCATGCTCATGTCCGCCCCGTTTCTGGGCTGCGGCCGCCAGGCTTCCACCTTCGCCCAGCAATCGGATGTTGCCGCCGCCGTTTCGCTTCTTCCATTTTAAAAGGAATAATAACAGGAACGCAATAAGGGCCATGCCCGCAGCTCCGCCTACGACACCTCCAATGATGGATCGCTGAGCGGTGGGCGTAAGTCCGCTGGAGTTGTTGTCCGTGTTGTCGGGGTCGACATACGGGGAGTCGGTCGTTCCGGCGGGGCTTGCGGATTCGCCACCAGCTCCCGCATTGCCGCTGTTGCCTTCTTCGGTCCCACCTGCTACGAGAGTCGGCACACCTGACGAGATAGATGTGAATTGAGTGGTTGAAGCTCGGCTTTTGGTGGAAGAAGCGAAGGTGGATGTCGAACTTGCAAAGGTTGATGTTCGGGTCGTGTTTGCGAACAAGGAATAGGACACATGCGTGGCGTTGGGATAAAACGATGGGATGCGAGCTATACGACAAGGCGCGCACACGGGCAAGGTGTTAGTCACTCACTGCGGATCAAATCTATCTGGATGGGGAAAGGATGACACAAAGGAACGAAGGAAGCATATGCATACTTGAAGAAGAGTTGAAAAGTCCGGAAGATAGCGATAGTGTGGGGAAGCTCGAGGTGCCATCATGGTAAGATGCGGACGAGCTGTTGAAAGGAGCGGACGTCAAGGCCCCCGGCGCAGCCACGCCGGAGGACAGAGACAAAATAGCGGACGTTACAGACGACTCCGTGTCGACGGAGGCAGTTGGCGACGGTGTCCCATCGCCAAGTTGCGGAACTGAGACGGGCACGGTGGGCAACTGGCTACCCAGATCTCTGACCTCGGCAGTTAGCACGGCCACAGGGTCGGATGACTGCGTAACAGGTTCGGATGCCAGAGTCGAGAAGTGGACGAAAGCACCGGCGTCATCTATGATCTTGATGACGGACACAGTTTGCACCACTAACACTTGACGTGCACTTAGTGGTTCGGGTTGTTGGTGCGTATCTGGTGATGAACGAATGTCGAGATGTTTGTGGTCCTGGAGAGTGGTGTTGTCGCCGTCTTCATGTGATTGTTCCTGTGCTTGTTGTTGTCCGGAGGATTGGTGGTGGTAGCGAGCGTGGTTGTGGTTGTGTATGTGGTGTTGGTGTTGGTGAGGAGTTTGATCAAGTTCCTCTTCCGGACGGAGCTGGCCTTGTTGGTTGTGTTGGTGGTGCAAATGGCGGTGGTTGTGCCCAGCGCTGGAGCCTGTGTGGGAATGGTCGATATTCTGGGTTTTGCGGGCCTGAGAGAGTGAAGGCCCGCCAATGTGGTTAGTCATGGCGTGTGTTGTGGTGCCTGCAGCCAGGCAGCCCAGTGACAGAGAGGTGGGTTGCCCGTTCCGAGCGCTTGTTTGGAGGGCGTTGGGTGCGCGATGTGTGGCTGTGTAATCAACGAGCGACGAGGGTTAAACGAGCGACTTGTCCAAGATGGACAGCTTTGGGTGACTTTTTTTTCTCTCTGTAATCGCGGGGCCGGGGGTTGGCCAAGGAATGTGGGAGTCAGGCTTCGTGATCCGGTGATTCTGAGAGGACCGACGGTTTCCCGTATTCGAGTGCGCGGGTGGCCGGGTCGGTCTGCAATAGTTCGTAATCGACAGCTGCGAAGCTACGCTGATGATGGCGGCGACGAGACGATGGAACAATAGCTACTCAAGGTATTGGTTGGCTGGCGCATTGTAGGAGATCATGGGCAAGATCTCGTCGAATCCATCCTCGGTCGGTATAGTAGTCCTGGGATCCAATGCTTTTTCTTTCTTTTTTTTTTTTTTTTTGTCGTGTTCAGCGTCCACCTCTTTGATAGTTTTCCCCTGTCGGAGTCTTCTCTTGTCTCAATGGCCCGCCGCTAACAAATGGGTATATATGGTAAAAATACGCTCGCCGCCTCGGCACTCGTCCGCGCTGTGATGGAGTCAACTCGGCCTCTTCAGACTGTCGCCAACATGCCTGGTTGAGAGAATGAACGAATGAATGATAGAACAACAGAAACAAGACAGCAGCCGGGGGAGAGAAGGGACAGGCAAAGAGGAGAGAAAGACCAAAAACATTGAATGAACAACGGGGGGCGGGCTGCACAACGATAATAACCTCCGGGACCACGCCATCCACTTCCACAGTACCATACCCATACACCCATACCTCTGCACATCCATGGGCTCGCAGATGAAATGAGATGCCAAAATTGGGCACAGCATGCCCTCGCAATCCTCGCAGCCGTCGCATCTGCCCTGCAACTGAAATGACGGCGGCATGCTCCCTGGTCTTGGTTGATCGGGCCCCCCCCCCTGGATGGAGGTGCCGTCCACGCCCTTTCCCGTTCCTGCCTTGGTTGCCCCTGCGCGGCGTTGAGCTGCCCTGGGCTGCCCGAAAGGGTCTCCGCTGCGGGATCCCTTCTAGCGCGGCGTCCAACATTCAATGCCTCGATGGGTCCATGTTTGGGGGCATTTGAAGCCCTTTTCGGGGCCAACTCCAACTCGCGGGACCCAACACGTTTCTGCAATTTCGCTTCCCTGGCCCGATGTCTCTCCTCTTTGCGCTTTCCCCCGTAGGTGGCCCACCCAGCAAAACCCATGAATGCCATGGCAGGCCTGGCTCGCTGGAATCCACCCTGGTTGGGATGTGGTTCATTATTGGCCCACCACAGCCGCGTAAGTCTTCAACATCTGATGCCGTGATTGGCCCGCTGTGCAACTGAGAATGCACTGGCCAAAGATTGATGCCCGCAATTTCCACGACGGCCCATACAAACAGCAAGAGCGAAACAATTGCAGAGCACTGGTGAGACTGGGCATGACGATTGTCCTTCGCATGCGGATGGATACGGCGAGGCTCTTGGGAGGAGTTAGGGGAAGCTCCTGAAAATCAGTGCAATCACGATGCAAGAGGCACGTCTTTTTGCGATCAACATTTGAAACACTCGGGATTTCCCTGATGGGCGCAGCAAGAGACTCCTACCCCGCCAGGCCCGCCTAGGTACTTATTGGGACCTGGTTGAACCTCAGTCGAGTCAAGACCTGCAAGAGCTTCCAGTCCATCTTAAAGCCGTGGCCGATTGATACGAAGCTCAATCTCATTTGGGCCTGGGCAGTTGCGACTAGCCGTTGGCATCTTGCAAATGCCGCAACTGTCACACCTCGTGTCGTGCCACTGCACACCTGAATACTTACAGTAGGTGCCTTTTTACAGATAAAAGAAAGGCCCCATCTCCTCTCGCTATCAGCCTGGGAGCGAGTCTATCTCTGAGCTGAGGACTAGACCGTCCTAACTTGAAGTCTGCCTCTCGCTGCCCCTCTGGGTGTGGCTTAGCCTTGGTCAAGCCTTGAGGTTGTGCTGATACCTACGTGCCACAGCGAGGTACATCGTCCTGTTGAATGTGCTGGTTCAGGCCGGCTGATAGCAAACCCAGCAGACCAGCCAAACACACTCCAGAATTCCGTGCACCCACCGTGACAGTGGCATCTTCCATCGCGGAAATCCCGTCGAATTGGATATTAAACGTTCAGGTCAACCGATAAATGATACCTGGGATACGTAACCACCTTGTGGTCCTGAGTTCATTGCGGGAATGGATGTGCAAGTTCCGGCCAGCCGATGATCCATTGGTGTCTTCCTGTCTCGCCTACCCCTTTCAGCTGTAAGCGGGGATCGTCAACTAACCACGGCAACGTCCTAGAGCCCCAGGTCGACCTCTAGCCCGCTGTATGTACCTGAACCCTCCAACCAACGGGCAACCACTGGACCAAATGCAGAACGAGATCGATGCCGTGCTCAGGTCAACCAACCCCCACATCAAATCAACCCAGAACACTCACAAGTTCACTTCCAATTAATCAAATTTGTTTGTTCAGAGCAAGTTCGTTTCAAATCCGTGTTCAGTGGCTGATCCGCCGAGGACAATGTCATCTATTCAAGACCTATCGCTGAAAGGGGCAGCTTCGTCCTCGTCAGGAGGGCCATCAACACGGCCGTCCTCCCTACAATTACAATCACCTCTACCAAGCATCGCCGTGGTTGATAAAGAGCAACAACAACAACACCACCACCACCAGAACGCCCTGGAGTGGACGGCAGGCCAAGGACACGGCCTAGACAATTCGAATCCCCCTCCAGCGAACTATCCATATTCGCAATGGAACAGGCCGGCCGACCCTCGAACCTCGTCCACACAGTCCTTGGCCCCTTCGACCCCGACGGGCAGTTACAGGGACCCCAGGAGGACGCTGCTCGTTATTTACATTCATGGTTTCATGGGCAACGACTCCTCCTTTCGCTCCTTTCCCGCCCATGTCCACAACTACCTTCGACAAGCCCTGGCCGAGACACACGTCATCCACTCCAAAATCTACCCCCGCTACAAGACTTACAAGTCCATTACTGTGGCCCGAGATAACTTCAGTAACTGGCTTCTGCCACATGAGTCGCCCACCACCGATGTCATCTTGATCGGCCATTCTATGGGCGGCCTGCTGGCTGCTGAAGTTGCTCTGTTGCCACGTCAACCTCAAGATCCTCCAGCTTACGACGACTCTCCCTTTCGCCATCGTATCTTGGGGACTTTGTCATTAGACGCTCCATTGCTAGGCCTCCATCCAGGTATTGTAGTGTCTGGAATTGCAAGTCTCTTCCGTAAGGGTCCGAGTCCTCCAGGTGCCACGAACGCGGCGCAAGAGTCTCACACGCTCTTCGCCCAGCAGTCGCCAGGGCTGTCACCAGATGCATCAATTTATTCCGAAATCTGTCCTCCTCCGGAGGCAACTTCTCCCATACCCAGGCCCACACCACTATCAACAACGTCGTCTCCCTCAGCACCGGATCCTTTCTTCAACCCAAAGTTCTTCAATGACGTGTCATTTGTGGACCGAGGATGGTTGAAGAACATAGCCCACTTTGCGCAAAAACACAGCCAAGAGAACCTTGTTGAGGCAGCTACTAACCACATCATATCACACTTGGAGTTTGGCGGTTGTTTGGCCGACTACCCCGGAATGAAGTCCAGGTATAACAGGTTGAGGAGGCTGGAAGATGTCGATGAGTTGAAACAGTCCCCAATAAATAATGAGCATCTGGTCAGAGTGCGGTTCGTGAACTACTACACCATATCTACAGGGATACTCAAGGATAAGGAGTCTCGCAAGGGCAGTACTCCAAAGGTTGCGTCAGAGGTTGCTGCTCCAGAAGACGGCCCTTCGAAGTCGAAAAGGCTTGAAAAGGCTCCTGAGCACCGGGAATCATTCGATACCGCGAGATCTCAGACCTCGACTCCGCGGAGCTCAACCGAAGAAGATTGGGAACTTACAGAGCTGGAACCCGTACCCGAACCAGATGATGGACCCGTCCATGGGCGTGTGGAAGCGGAGGACAAACCCCCTGCATACGTTTCTCACGAAGAGCTTGACAAGACTGCTGAACATTCCATCAGTAACACCAGCGGAAGCGGCAACGGCAACGTAACTGAGCCCAGCATAGAAACAACCTCACTCCCTCTACCGGACCTCCCCCCGATCCCAGACACCCCCTCGCCGCCACCCGCCATAGACCTAAGCTCCATAAGCGACAAAGACGCTCGTAAACAAGCCGAAAAGGACGCCAAGCAAGCACGGAAGGAGTACGAAGCAGCAGTTAAGAAGCGGGACAAGATTCTAAAAGAGCGGTTGAAAATTGTCGAAAAGCACGAGAAGGCGCAAGCCAAACTTGCAAGGGATATTCAAAAAGAGCAGGAAAAGCTGCGTAAGAACGCCGAGAAGCAGGAGAAAAAAGATGAGAAGGAGTGGGGGCGGAAACAAAAGAAAGAAGAGAAATTGAAGGCGGAATCGACGGCGAGCAGGATTGGTGAGTTGGAGACTCACCATTTGGCTCATAATCAGAGTTTGGATGGGGGATCGTTGTCGGCGTCGCTAGGGACCCCGGCTGGTGAGAGCAGCAGCAGCGGGAATGTAACGGGAAAGAACAAAAGCAAAAAAAAGGAGAAGGGAAAAAAACCGAAGGGGGAGAAAGAGGAGAAACAAAAACTCCGCAAATTCTGCATGCTACCCTCCAAGATCAACGGCATCATGGACCCAACTTGGATTCAAGTCTACATGGAGGGAGTGGACGAAGTTGGTGCTCACTGTGGCTTGTTCTTCGCGGGGCCGCATTACGATAAGCTGGTGGGGGATGTCAGCTCGAGGATCATGGGGTGGGTGCAAGATGATGCGAGCAGGAGGTTGTTGCTTGAGGGAATGCAGGGATTGGATCTTGATTGAGTGAGTGAGTGAGTGAGGGTCTTGTTGTTGGGGGGAGGGAGAGGGTAGATTGGAGGATGTGAGAATGGGTACCGGGCGACGGGCAAGCAATGGGGGATTGAGAGATATATGATACGACAGACACTCAATGAGACGAGGGGTATGTGACTGGACCCTCCATGACAGATACGCAGGCAACAGAGGATAGCTGAGATAGTAAAGGACTGCGTAGCGTAATGAACCATTTAGTCTATGCACAAATGCGATCAGCATCACGAACCAACTCGGCTGCGTAGGGGCACAGGAAGACCATCGTCCATGTACCTCAACTCAACACTATAGGAGCATGAATGGGCTTTGTTCTGGCCCACTTGTTCCATTCAACTCCATTGTTTCTTATTTTATACTGTCCTTGTTTTACCCATCCGTCCATCACTTGCCCTTCCAATCCCGCTCGACCATCTGCGTCTTCTCGTCCCATCCATCCAACCATTCATCCATCCCATAACGCGCTCAATCTTTTGTCTAAACTTTGCGCTACTCGAAACGACAAACAAAAACAATGAACAGCCGCAGTCGCAAAAACAAGAAGCGGAAACGAGAAGCAGTAGCAGAAAAGCAGGAACACCAAAACACAGCAGGGCCGAAATGCAAAACCAGAACATGATGAGACGAACCACTTCCATTAACACAAGGCCATTGGAGAACTTGCTTCCCTAGTATTCTCTGATCTGAAATCCCTCTCCTCTGATATTATAAAGTCGCAAAGTCATCGAGCCTCTCTTTTTTTTCTTTGCTTCTTCGGGGCAACTACCTAGTAGGGTGTTTGTGCGCGAGGCAACTATGATCGGTCTAGCAGCCATGATCATCACCACCATCCCCCTCTCCGCGAAACCTTGCCAGCCGGCTCGGCTTGGGCTTTGTTATACATCTAATCCCTCTCCCTCTTCTCTCCCTAACTAAGGGACCCTACAGTTCCATCGCGGGAGCGCGCATTCCCTCATCCCATTCCGTATGGTATCAACATTCGCTTACCCCCCTTACCAAAAGGACTAATAGAAGAGATCCATGCCATTCTCTTCCCTTTCTTCTTTTGTTCGATTCTTTGTCCTCGCAAGGGCTACCTCCCCC